GGAAAACCCTGATTCCGATCCAAATATGCACAATGGCTCCATTATCCTGAGGGAACAAATAACGTATGAATCAATCGTTGGTCACCGGCTACCATAGAACTGCATCATCTCACGATGCTCCACTGCCTTGTGAGTTAGAACTTTAGGTCAATGGCTCACAGTGTGGTCCCCTAAGAAAACCACGTGGTTCAATTCTGGCACCTGGACCGTATCACAGCCCTCAAACAAATCAAATAAGATTTGTGTGGCGCACATATATCTAATTCCTCTTTGAACCAATATTCGTGTGTTTAAATAATAATAAAATCGAAAGCTATTTTTAAATATTCTTCTATCTTTTTTTCTTGAAATTAACAAATCACTTTATGAAGCGATCTTGATGATAAATAAAATACCAAACCCAAATCATAAAGTAAATCAGTTTTGTTATATCATTCGTTCATTGGTTAAGTTTTATTTTCGATAATTTCAAATATCAAACCCCAAATAATGTTCTTATTTAGTTAAGATAATCATAATGAGGATTACGTTTGAATCACTTTGAAAAAGCAAGATTACTGAAATATGAATATTGACTATTATTCTTAATTATGTGGAACATGTTTCTAAACCTTCTTTTATGCATACATTTCCATTTATTTATAAATGTATATCTATATATCTTATGACGTAATTAGATAAACAACAATTATTTGAAATAAACAAATTAATCATTATTAATAACGGATTAAATATTGAATGATTAGCTTCTTCTCTTACAATTTTAATTGACTGTCAGTGAAAAAAAATTGGTTACTAGTAAACAGATATTCAGTGTATATTTGAAAAATCTCAATAGGGTTTTGTTTTATAGTTCATACCAGATTCACTATGCGATTTTGATGAATCATAGTGTGGTGTGGGTTACTTATATCCACATAAGTAGTATATAACGATGGTCGGGCATTGAATGTATTTTAGTAGAAGATCGATAAGGAGAGAACGGAGACGTGACGCTATTGGTATGAAAATGCATGAATAATAATAATCAAAGGGGATAGAATGGTATTTGAAGAAGGAATGGTCAAGTTTGAGACAATTGATTGATAGTTTACAAATAAAATGTTCACTGTATGATTGTCAGATTTTATCGAAATAGTCTGTAATTTCGTGTCAAATATATTCGATTATCCCCAATCGTGTGCTTGTTCACTACAATAGAACTAACGGTTTAGTAATTCAAGATTGGGTAGCCAGAATTTTCAACCTTCATAGATTTATTTTGTAGCGTTCCAAATACTTTGATTCCCTTGTGATGCAATTGTTTTTCTGCAATTCTACTAATTATTTGGTGTTATACACAAAATATTGAAATTGGTTTCTAGAAATACGCATAACCAACAAGTTTTTGATCATAGACCGCTTTTTACATTTAAACCAAATAACCAAGATTTAGTGTTAAAATGACTGATAATCAGTGGTCATTAAGTAATCATGCGCAAGTGACAGTTTTGTAAAAGTTCACAAAATATATAAAGAATGTTCCTGTCCAATACGGACATATGTCGAAAGTGATTGACTGTAATTCTGTCTGTGAAGGAGACAATAGGAAACATAATAAATTAGTAGACTATGAGACATAACTATTATAAATATCAGATTTTCCGAAGTTCAGAAAAATAATTCATGCAAAGATAAAAGCTGTGCATTAAAATAATCAAATGGACTTTCAAAAATGCTTTCAGCCTGAATGATAACTAAATATAAGGACACTGAATCAAAATAAGAAATTGAATGAATAAACAAAAGTCCTCGCTGATATTTCTTTCAAGCAGAAAGTTGCTTAAGGGTAAAGTAACAGTATTTTCACACAATAATATTTCAAATAACAGTCAGCTGCTGCAAAAGTTAGGGGAACTTAAGCGAAACAAATAGCTACTCTTACACACGCCAATCTTTCCAAAATTCAGAAGTTTTGATGTGCACTACCAAATTATTGGCTACCTGTTAAGATACCAGTTTAAAATAATGACTCCTTTTTAAACGTAAGCTAAAAATGTGTGAAATACATGTATTTAAGGTCACCTGAATCAAATTTTATATTATTTGTTTAGGGAACTTCGAGGATATATACTCCATGAAAATGTTTAAAAACATTTTACTTATTATGTCTTTTGAAATTCTCTTGATTAGTTATTTGTCTATTATACGAATACAAAGTGAAATAGTGAGATGATTATGGAACTTATTCAGATAATTTTGAGAAATATATTTAGCCCAGCAAATTCATCTATAAATTTTGCACAATTATTTTCCACTGATTTAGGAATTGCAAAACAATCTGTCAATAATACACCAATACTTTAGTATAAAAGTATATTTAGACATCGCGAAATTTCCATAGTTTTATATAATTAACTGATAACGACTAGACTACCACTGAAAACTGATAGCAATAGACTTCCATTTCTTTCTAGTTTTAGAACTCATTTGCAACCATATTTCTGAACCCAAGATGTTCAGTTTTGCATGTAACAGGATGTAAAACAACTAAACCATTAAGCTATCACTAACTGGTATACATTGTTTAACTTCAATCAACATCAATACGTTGTTCCAATAATTGAAATCAATACATTAGGTATAGTTCACAGTCTATAAATTCAACATATATATCATAACTATTATTTGTTATTCTGAAGATCCATTACTCTTATCAACATCCTATAACAACTAATCTTGTGAATTTCTTAAGAATATTTTCTTGGAATCAAAATTGTACTTGCCAGCTCAGTATTGTTTTTTTTCTTTTTTATGATGAAAATAGGCTTCCTTTTTTTCCCTACAGAATATTAAATTAATCATTAATTTGCCTTAAAAAAAAAAGAAAATAAACTTTATGATGATTAGTTTCATTAGACTAAAAAATTAAAAAAAATTTTTTTCATTTTTACAAATTTTACGTTTTTTGTAACTTTAATTGTTATGCTAATTAATGTTGCTTCAAGTCAACTTTTATTTGTCAAAAATATTTTTTTTTAAAAGAAGAAAAGAGATTCATTTTTCTCATTTATTTTCTTTAATGATTTAACTATATTTTTCTAATTTATTTTTCCTTATTTTTTTCTACTCAAAATGACCTAGTTTTATTTTAATATTGAGCGCTTGTTTTGTTTACAATATTTTTCTTCACTATATATGTATATAAATAGTTAGCATTCAAAGTCTCAGTGTTACAGATTAATCAGAATGACAGCTGTATAGATGTTTACATTTCTTGAATGGAAATAAGTTAATCTGTTTGTTGTTTATTTATTCATATAAGAGAAATATGTTAGAATTCTAACATTTATGTTTCATTGATACTTATTTTTATACCGAAATTCGTTGTATATTATGTAAAGTTTGTTTCAATATCAGGTTAATTGATCCAGTCATAAAGCGTAATAAATGAGTCTTCTTTAAGAAATACGAAAGCCTAGATAACTTCAATTTTCGTCACTTTGATCTTTAAGTCTCCCGAAAATGTTAAACAATATATAGTACTGTATGAATATATAGATACAGTGGGTAGATTAGCTTGCGTGTGATGGAATAAATATTTTTTCAACGATTTATTAATGTATCATACAGAAAATTGTTAGTTTGTCAACCTATCGACTTTTAAGTGTCACAATGTATTATATATATATATATATATATATATATATATATAACATTGTTTTATTTTAATTAAAGGTTAAACGAAATTTAGCGCTATCAGTTAGAGTTACTTACTTATGACTGTTAACGCCCGTGGAGAAGCATAGGCCGCCTGCCAGCATTCTCCACCCAACCCTGTCCTGGGCAATTATTTCCAGTTCTTTCCAGTCGACACTCGTCTTTTTCATATCTACTTCTATTTCACGGCGTAATGTGTTCTTTGGACTTTCTCTTTTCAGCTTCCCTTCTGTATTTCAAGTTAGGGATTGCCTCGTGAGGCAGTTTGGTAATTTCCTTTATGTATGTCCCATCTACTTCCAACGTCTTTTCCTAATTTCTTCTTCAGATGGAACCTGGTTTGTCCTCTCCCATAAAACGCTGTTGCTGATAGTATCCAGCAAGTGAATGTTTCGCGTAAACAACTGTTTATAAATACTTGCACCTTCTTGACGATGGATTCAGTAGTTCTCCAAGTTTCAGGTCCGTACAGTAGAACTGGTCAGTTAGTGTACCTACAGATAATTGATTCTTTATCGTTAATCTAAAATTGGTCAATAGAACTCTCCAACCATCAAATTACATTGAAACTTGGGAACTTGAACTAGTAGTCAAATCAAAACTTCACCACTAGTTTCCTGTTAGCACTAAGAACTAGTTGCGTATCACATAAGCCGGCTCCTCGGTGACTAATCGAAATAAAGTTTCAGAAGTCTGCCAATGATGGTATAGTCTAACGACACGATTTATGTCTGAGATACTTAGTTACCCGGGTTCTAATATTATAGTATTCCTTAACTTCCTCCTAAATACAGATATTTTCCTTTGACAAGTATCAGCAAACTCGAAAGATCCAGGCCTGGAACATCTTTATGGAACACATTAAACCATCTACCCTGTAATTAACTGTATGTGTTTAGCCGATGTCACTACCAGCCTAATTCAATTTCTTAAAAACATTTGGTCGTTCGAACAGTCCTATTCATTTTAAAATACACTGATAAAAAAACTATTTTCATGTTTCTTGAAGACATAACAAGTATTTACTTGGATTTAGTTAGATTGATGACACCTTTATTTTATCTCATCAAGTTTCCCTTTAAACTACTTACTTACATCTAGATTTTCGTATCTAATATCTAATCATGCAAACGTCTGAAATGATGTCCCGTACTTGTATAGCTTATTATGATTAATCACGCTTATTATTTAAAAAATCTTTACTATTTTCCTTATGAGTGCACATATTACAGAAAATTTCCTTTATGTTAGACAAATGTTAAGTCTTTTAATCATATTCTACTTTGTTACTTTCATTTTAGCAAATTTTTTACAACCATTGGAATCTCAATACACAGATAAATGGACCGAAAAAAGTCTTATCAAAGATTTATTAAGAGATTATGAAAAACGTGCGAGACCTGTAGTCGATGGGATGTCACCTGAAATAACTGTTGGCAATACTACTGTACAACAAATCACTGTGGCATTTGGTTTGGGTTTGATTCAAATTCTCCAGCTTAACGAAAATGAACAGATTCTCACTGTCAGTGTCAGATCTCTTTATGTAAGTTATTATGAATTAGATTTTCTTCACATTTTATGAAAAAAACACAAGAAAATACCTCTAAAGTAGAGGTATTTTAGGAAACAATTATATTAGTAACTCCTCTTTATTAGACAATACACTGAATCATTACTACTAATATATTGCACACTTTCGAATCAGTAGTATATCAACTATGTTACATAAAAGGCAGGTCATGTGTTCATTAAGGATATTAATAATCAATAATGCAAGATGCAATAGGCATAACAACATGTGTAATAGTGAGTTACTGAGACAAAATGTTTGCTTCACATTTATCTTATACAATATATTTATTGTATATTGATCCGACCATTAAGCAATATTGAGACGTGAACAATATCCAGTAGTATTGACTATGGATGACTAGAAACACATTCATACTTCGTCTTGGTGATAATAATACATAGATAATTCTACTGACATAGATCTTTTATGAAAATATTAATTTGCCAAAACATCTCCAATGAATGAGAAGCGAATTTATTTTATTATCGTCCGTATAAATAATAAAATTTGTACAGTACACCTCTGAAATAAAACTGATCGTTGTTGTACATCAGATTTCAAGTGTTTTCAAAATTCAAATTGAGGGCTTTTGTTGTTGTTACCAATCAATGTGAAGTATTAAAAAAAGAAATTATATATAGATTTCAGAATAAAATGCAAAATGTAGCTTCAAGACGTAGTTGACTTGAATATGAATTTTCATTAATCAACCATTGATTACATAAACTTACATATCCATGTCTAATGGAAGTAAAAGTGTGAAGATAGTAGGACGAAAGATTTTTTAAATCCATTAAAAGTTCAGAAAAACATTGCATGACAGTATGCAGCATTAGTTATGGCTTCTCGATGAATGGTCATGAAAGTCTCGTTCTAGGCTTTTAACTTATCATCTTGCTATTGATGTAACTAGGCATTCATAAAACATCAGAGGTGAATTCCTTCTGTTGAGTACCTATTGGACTTTATTTACAGTTTCTGTTTAAAACTAAAGTGACGAACGAGACATTTTATCAGGGCATTCATTCTTATAACGAAATGATAGACTCCTTATTGTCTAATAATGAGCATAAAATTGACAAGTAACTGTTTCTTGAAACATAAAATTGCATGGAGTATATTGGTAAATCATAAAATAACAAATAACAGAATGTCATAGTCAGCAAAGTTAAGTTTCCGTGTGTCAGAATCTTCGCATGAGAATTTCAACCTTCGCTAATAATCAATGCATACTTTATTCTTTAACTGTCATCAAGAACTATACCAGGCAGCCTTGCTTACCGAAGTTGATTTGTTAGTGAACAGGAAACGTTTGACATCAAAAATAAACTGGTATGCTTTTCAGAGTAACTCTTATTCATGTCAACTAGAAACAATAGTATAACAACAGTATCTCAAATATGCTATACACAAATATGACTTATCAACACATCCATAGAAATGAAAAAGTAATCACGGGTTATTAACAGAATGTCAGAAAAATTTAAAATTCATGATTTACTTTTGCTATTTTTCAAAATCAAATATACACTTTTCTAAGTTCTCATTTCGTTATGAGCGTAAATAGTTCTAAACAGGTTCCTACAACTTATTTGTTGCCCTATACTACTTCAAGGAAATTATTCTGTTGGGAAATTCATGCGCAAGTGTGTACTTATTCCACCTTTCTATGGATGTTCACAGAATATTCAATGTAAAGGAAACTTGATCGGACATTCATGGGCTCTACATCTGAAAATCCATAGATAATGCAAGAAAATGCCGGAAAAGTTGTAACATATACAAAAGTTAAAAGAAAGTTAGTCAGCGTTATAGACTTGGAGTTAAGTTCATGATTCTAAGTTTATGGCTCTGACTGCTTCTATTATAAACCTAATTTTTCTGATATTCTAGCTGTTGCAATACAGTATATATGGATCAATACCTAAAGGGTCTGGAAAATGAGTCATTCAAAAATTGTTCCTCCCTTACATTTTTCATTGAAAATAGCTCTGTTTAATGAACATAATACTTGTGAACACCATATCACTTCAAACTATACGGTTTATAGCAAAAGCATATTTGTTCCTCGTATGATCTCAAATGATTGTCAATTCAAAAGTCTTAAACTTTAGAAATGAACAGAAGGCTTATTTTTGTTAGTGAAGTTACTGAATGTTGCTACATTTTTTCTTAGACTTGATTCACTTCGTAAAAATTTAGAATTTAAACGTTCAGTATAATTTTGGTCATAATGAGTGAGTACACAATAAATATTCGTTAACTTTGTATACAGTCAACAAATGGTTAAATTACTGAAATCTCCACCAAAACCCCCTCTGAATATGGTATTCTCATTACATAGTTTGACCTAATTTAACTGTTAAATGAAGCCAGAGAACTGAGAAAATTGAACTGCTACATAACATTACTAACTCTCAATTAATAATGGTGTAAAACGTGTACATCAAAATTTCGCGATCAACGACAGCTTTTCTATTTGTAATTCGTGTCATTAAAACAAATTTTTTGAAAAAGTGTACTAATGGGTTTGTATACACAATAGCACAAACAAAACTTGTTTTTCAAGTTAATTAATTACAATTTATTCACTCAGTATAAAATTCTCAATAAAAAAACAAAAAAAGATCTATATCAGTCTTTGATTTAGTAAGCACAAATCAAAAGGTGTTTATTGTCATAAGATTTCAAATAACTGGAGTACGTAATTTTCCGTATTCAAACCGAACCTAACATTGGTGTAATTGTTAAATCGATTGAGTCAGTGCGTGCCCTGTTTAATATATGAACGTGCTGATTACCTCCAATGAGAGGGGAACGAATTATCAATCAGAGCAATGATACACGAAAGCCGTATGAGCAGTCTTGAGCACTTACCAGTCTTGCTTTCTGCCTAGCCCAGCCGGTTAATTTCAGAACACCAATAACAACCTCTGCAATATGAATCATTATTCTCAAACATACTGAGTTTATATACCAAACGAACTGACCACCATAAAATAAAAAATAATATTTGTACAAGATTTGGCCAAATGTGACTGTGAATAAAGGGAACAGTAATTAATGACAAGGGATAACTCAATAATGGTAAATCATATAATAATAGTCTATAGGTCAAAATGAAGCTTATAATAGGAGGAACACGAATATGAATAGTTCAGTTACTTAACAATTATACAATAGGAAATATACGTATAATATTGATCTATAAATAGTCCTCAGAGTTATCATTCATAATTCTCCACGGGATATAACAGTAATGTAAAAATCAATTTAAATATATTTGATAGGATGGTTTAACCAACCATGATTACTATGAAATATGCGTCTGTAACAGTTGTTATCAATTTTAAAATGTCGTTTATTATGTCAAAGTATTTTCAAATTACTTCGTACGGATATTTCAGGAAGAGATTAACTACCTTTAAGTTAGTAAATGATCAATAAGTCTACTTTTAAATCATTTCACCATTACTTAACTTTAGTTATTTAAAATTCATTTAAAATATTCTACCATATAGATTCCTGAAATTTTTATTAAATTTCTACCGACTTTTAAGTTACTCATGACTTTGAATAGGACAACAAAGATTGTCTATAGAAGACTTTGATCACAGGAAATGAAACCTTAATAAATGAAATTTTTAAAATAGAATATGTATAATGTACACGTATATATATACCGAAAGCGACAAAAAGACAGAAAGAAAGAAAAGTAAGATAATTCAAAAAAAACTTTTATAAATTTCATTTTCATTTTAAATCTATTTTGATCTTATTTAATGAACATTGAATAAATTAGGTCATCTCATTCACAACAAAAAAAACTAGAATAATTCACTTTTGATACAAACATTTTTTTATTTTTTTGGAAAGATTTACAATTTCATTCAATGTTTTATTTCTATAATTTTTTTTTATTTTTGTTGTTATCATTATTAGAGATGGACGGATTATCATTTGGTATGGAATCCAGAAGAATATGAAAATATTACTCATCTAAACATTCCAACTGATAAAATATGGCTACCAGATATTGCATTGTATAATTAGTAAGCACGTTTTAATATGATAATCATTTAATTTTTAATATTCTTTATAATGTCAAAGAATGAATATATACACGATCCTTATGTGAAGTTAGTTTATGTAAGACAGTATCTAAAAGACACGATAGGAACTGTCAAGTATTTTAAAGTATGTCAATGATTTTACGAATTGATTATCTGTTTTTAGAAAGATTATTTCTTATCATGATACTTTTGAGTTTAGTAGCCCACATATGCAGTGGTACGGCCGAGAGTGGGAAGAATGCGCCCTTCCTCTCGAAATGCTCTCACATGACCACGCGTATATAGCCTCTGCCACACAAGTCTTACTCACTACCTTCTCGTACCACGGGTTTTGTTTACAAAATTGAGAGGACGAATGTCAGACGTTTTGACCAGTTCGGTGGACACGGAAAGTTCTCCTACGAAAGTTGGAAACCCCTGGTTCCAAACCAATAGTTCATATGGGCTCCAGTATCCTGAGGGAACAAATGGCGTACGAATCAATCGTTGGTCACCGGCTACCATGACACTACATCTCCTGACGATACTCCACTGCCTTGTGGATAAGACCTTTAGGTCGAAGGTTCCGAGTATGTACCCCTAAGCGAACCACCTGCTTCAGTTTTGGCACCTGAGCATTATCACAGCCCTCACACAATTCAATCTCATGCCCCTTTGTACCAATATTTATGTGTTTAAATAAATAAATAAATTTAGTTTAGCAAGCTGTAAAATTTCTAAGCCAGTATTCTAATATTCCTTATTTCAGGTTGGGTTTATTTAAAGGTAGTACTGTTTTGAAAAAAGAACTACCATTGACTAATGATGCATATAAAATGCATAAAAGTACAAGTAAAAGGGAATATGATTAGTAATATAACTTTGTTTTTATAATCACAGTATGTTATAGGTTAGTATTATTTGATATCCGATTATTGTAATAATAGTCATCCATCACATTATTTGTTTATTAAAAGGAGGTAATCATAAAATATTATACACATTATAGCTGTTAGCTATTTTTCTGTTAATATAAAAATGTTCAAAGTTGTGTTTCTCTTACACAGATTTAGCAGATGAAAATAATTAAAATCTATTCATGTGTTCATCAGTACTAGCATCGAATTCCATTCCTATGAACTCTAACAACCAATTAGTGAACTCTAGTTCATTGGTCTAGAGGTATGGTACAGTTAACAAACTGAACGTTTTAATTTTCTGGATTCAGTTTCATGTATAATCTTGAAAGTCACGAAGTAGAGTAAAACAATTATCAGGGTCTCACTTACTTCCACCTGTTTATCCTAAATCTCATAAAACCTGATTAATGCATAAGAGAAGAGTTTAAGGAGGTTTTATTCAGAAGCTAAAACAGGTGGCTAATGAGTTACTTATTAAATTCTTTTCGTTTAATTGAGTCAGAATTATGCCACTCCAGAAAGCAGTGTTCCACATAAATCAGTCCTTTCAATCAACTTTAAAGTCGAATAAACAATAGTATGTCCACTTAAAATCCTAGCCAGTTGAATTTAATCACATGAAAGATAATTTCAGTGTATATCTAAAGACTTCAACATACCGTTAAACAATTAATTCTAATTGTAAGCAGAGATGGATAGTAGCTAGCAGTTGAACCAAGGACGCGCGTTTCGTCCTATTTGGAACTCGTCAGCTGGATGTACCTGCATCTCAGAGTTGATGTTCACTTTGGGACATTCATTTATAAACGTTTGTTTGAATCTTCCCATAGATGTGTTAGGACTGCAACTGGTCAGTCTCTAATTGGCATGTGTGCATACTGTGCCTATTGCCTTAATTCACAAGCATGAGATGCAGGTTCATCCAACTGACGAGTCCCAAATAGTACGAAACGCGCGTCCTGGATTCCACTGTTAGCCACTATCCATTTTTGCTTACAATGCTTGTGAATCAAGGCTATATCGAGGCAATGCGCACAGTATGCACATATGTCAATTAGAGACTGACCAGTTTCAATCCTAACACATCGATGGGAAGATTCAAACAAACAATACTAAATGAGTTAATTCTAATGTCTTAGAAGTATGTATTTTGCAAGCCGTCACCAGTGTGAAATTCATTTATTAAATATACAAGATATTATGCTGACAACTTATTCAATATTATCTCACAAAACCACCGGACTGATGATTAATGAGTAGAGAGAATTTGTACAATAAACGGAATTAAAAAGCAGAATACAACATAAATAAGAAAGTTAAAAGCAGAAGTAAGTAGTGACTTGCTTTTTTTTTACTTATGCGGCGAAAAAAACAAAATGATGACTATATTAAGAAAATACCCTGAGGATATTGAATTCCTTTGAGTAATTCCATATCATCTTTCTAATTCTTCTATCTTATTTCATTTTAATATGACCTAATGGTAATGAGAACTTTATGTAATATCTTCATTTCTCTCTTTCTGTTTAGCCAAATAGCTTACTTACTAATCACCTACAGATATACCTACCATTCCTACACTCTATCTTTATCTTAAGTTATCTAAACGTGTCTACTTTTACGCATTTATTATTATACATACGAACTAGTAAGTAAATAAGTAAGTATAAATAAGTCAGTGAACTAGTAAGCAAGTGATAGAGCGAACAAAACAGTTTTAAAAAAAGAATAATAATATATAAATTGACAACCATCAGGCTTGTGCTATTAATGAAATACTTCTAATGTGTTGTAGAAAAGAGAAAACAAAAAAAACAGAATGAACGAATAAAGGTCTTGAAACGAAGTAGCTTTTTAAGTTTAAAATGTTACTCTTTATATATATATATATATATATATATATATATATGTTCGTGGGGGGATGACTTTCTTTATTAAATATTTAGTAAGGTTACTATGAAACACATTAAATAAAAAAAACTCATCAACAGATGAGCATACTTTGTAATACGTAGGAACAAATGTACTTTGAAGTGCTTTATCAACGTGTTCACTTTGTAAAGATAATGAAACGTTTGTTTTTTTTCTATGGAAGTAAAGAATATCTTTTATTTTTTGAAGATGAAGAACAGTTTCTTTAGTGGTTTAATTTATAATTCAGTTTATTTCATCCTGGTTAATTTTTAACGAAAAAACACTGTTGACAATGGGTTTTTTTCATATTAAACTAGATTATTTAATTGGGATTCAATATGGAAGGTATATTTTCATTGAAAACATTCATATTGTATTAAACTTCACTATATATTTTATGTCAAACAAGATATTTTCATTGGTGAATAGATTGTCTAAATTGAATATTTTTTAACATATGATGAGATATGAACAATAACATGGGTTAGAGTGAATAATCTAGAACTCTCTGGGTGATATTATTAGATGTGATAGTGATTAAATCACAATGTTCAAAATCTAACTCTTTGAATATGTTTCAGGTCATTTTACTTCCCTAGTGTGCCTAACGGTTTATATCACTCTTTAAGCAATATTAAATATGAACTTACTTGGAATACCTGAACACTCTAGTGCTGCTACAATCTTCTATGATTCATGAAACTATTAAATGAGTATAAGTATTACTTGTATCATTGGAAGTACATTTTAATGCAAAATATATTTGACAGTAATATACATTAAATGGCCATGATTTCACAGAAACTGTAATTAAGTTTAATTATTAATTATCCTTCAATGATAAAAAATATCCACTACTTTTTATAAATAAAATCATAAAAGTTAAACTTAGTAAATGACAAACTGAGCTACAAGATTATTTTACAGTAGCTACCCTATAGAAAGTAACGAAAGCATCTGATGAAGGATGAATTTCACTTTCAAAGTTTAAAAGTGTTTAATATTTATTTAATCAGTTGATTTAACTTAAGAGTGTCTGAACGTTAAATCAAAAAAGCGATAATAAAAAGTACCTATCTCGATAGCTAAACATAGCATTTCAGAATGCTCATTACTAGTTTTTTTAAAGATCCCGTCATATTGTCTATATAGAACAGTTTTCAAACAAATATGGTTGAAAACTTTACTTCTTACATTACTAAGCTTAATTTTTATGACCTTCATCAATTTCTGCATGAATGGTAAAGTGCATAGTAGTATTCCTTGATGGGATATTTTGTCACTTTCAGCTTGAGGTAGAAACTTTCAAGTGCTTAAATCATCCTAGTCAAATTCAGTTTGAAAATTGGAAATCTTTCTTTTTTCTGCAATCGATACAAGGCATTATGTTACTTTGTTCTGATGAATCCTATAGAAGGTTCTTCATTGCCACGCTATGTAGCATGGTAACATCTCACGTGACAACTACAAGAAAATATATGACATTTACCGCAGTCTGTATATTATAGCTACTCAACCCTTAGTAAATCAGCAAACAAATTTTTACTTTCGTGCGGTATTAATTAATCACTTTAAAAACGTATCATGCAGGTGGATTGTACGGTGATGCCTCATTGAAACTGCAAAACTGATTATATATCATGTGATTAGGGTTATTTAATCAATAGTGAATTTAACAACTCAGCAGTTCCTATTGCACGTTATTTTAAATTTAAACATAAAGATATATGATGGAGATTAGGTGACCTAATTTAAACAGAATGAATTGTTAATTATATATATTAACAGCATGTTTAAGTGTAAGTTGATTACGGTGTTCACAAATTGATTTGTTTTATACACAGAACCGAAACAAAGAAATTCTAGCTCCAACCATGGTAGCTCTAAATGATTAGACCTTGTTTGTGCTTCAATGATATAATATCGTAATTGAAATTAAAACCTCTGGATTTCACAAAGACTGTTATCCATAAGTCTTTATTTTGCAAACGTATTTTTTTTATAAATGCTAACAGTTCTTGATTAATTTTACGTTTGAACTTATTCTTGATCCATATTATACACAACACTAAAATAATTGAACACATTTGGATTTTATTGATTATTATTTGTGCACATTACCATTTTCATTTTCTACATATTAAAAAAACTGTGGAAAATTTCATT